AAGATGTTACTGGAATATAAAGAAACACAATCCTACTTTGATTTTATTTTTTTTAAATAGAGTGGAAGAAAACTAAAACAGCCTTTGAACTTTGAAGTATGATGTCATGATGTGCTTTTTTTCAGTCTAGTTAAACTCTTGGGAGTTTAACCAACTGCTGCAGCTTTCTCCATGCCTTCTACAAATTAGGAGCAAAGGTGCCTTTGCATCACAGGCCACTCTGACAAAAAAGTGAAGCTGGTTAAAGCAAATGCAGTATTATGTAGGTATAAAAGCAAGCATGGGAGAATCAACTCCCATTTCTGTCCAAAACAGACTTCAAGGTCAAGACACTACTAATATGAAACATTATGTGAAATAAGGACTACATTTACATTGCTGATTGGTAAAAAAAGACATGAAGTATGAGTTCATAAATGCAAATAACTACATCTAAGGGACCTATGAAATATAACTAAGAAACACAGTGTAAGATAATAGGGTTATGTAAATAAAAATAAGCATGTGGATGCTTATGTTCATGTATATACACATCCAAATCTTCTACAAGGCTAATACTCCAAAAAGTATCTCTCCCTTCTGGAAAATAATTAAATGTTCACAAATCAAAAAAATATGAGAACTAAGAAGTATCTAAAGCATAGTTACAGCAAGAAATTTTAGATTGAAAGATTTTTTTCAAAAAGAAAAAATTCTCTACAAATACAGAAACCCACTTCACTGTATACAGAACTGGCTGGTACATTTTGTCTAAAGTAAGAACAGAAAAGGAGGCCATGTGAACTGAAGAAACTATTTGAATCTCAGACCAAAAACTAAAGTCAGATATCCATGCCTTCTCTTACATGGCTTCATGAGGAAATTGTAGATTCTTATATGAGCCTTAGTCCTATCTAGTTATCAGTCACTGGGAGTAACCACTGTTCTCTTTGAGTGTCTGGATACCTGGCATTCATTCACTCTTTGATGAGAGTTAATTTCTTAACACTTAGATCCCATACTTCTGTCTCCTTCATTTCCCTACCCAAGAGACAAAAAGAGAGATTACTGAATGAGTATTCACATCAGTTATTTGACCGACAAAAGCAGTCAGCGAGAGACAAACACACAAGAAGAAAAAAGAGCACTAAGATTTCAAGTCAAGGAACACTGTTCGAAAACACTCACTTTTATAAGAATATAAACTTTCCCATTTCTTTTGATTCTTGCAAATATGCCATGGCATTACTTGATTTGCAAATTATAATGGTGTATTTTAAAGACAGAATGATGCTAAAATGTCTTTTGCTTTGATGATCTAGTAGATCACTGCTATTTTGATCAAAAAGAATAGTAGGGTTATAACTCCAAAGAGGAAACAGAGAGAAATTTAATTAAGTCTGCAGTATGACCATTCCCTGACAATTTCTAACAGAGTAACAGAAATAGGAGCACAGTCATGTCTGGACACAGACCACTTCTTTGAGCTGCCTGTGCAAAGAGTAGAAATCTTTGTATCTTAGAAATGGTACGAAACATCTGTTCTACAAAACTTCAGAACAAATATTCTTAGAAGGTTCAACATAAATTGTGACCATTAAAGATATTGATACCTATAATGCAAAATTATCATATTACCATGTCTTAAGAAAAAAACTCATTGAATCTTAAAAGATGCATAAGTACATTTCAGCTGGACAGTACATATACTGTAGAGATATGACATAAACAGGATATAGCAAACACTTTTGCCACTGCTTTTCAAAAATGCTGTCATTTTACATGATTGGCAAAATTCAGACTATGAGGACTTGAACTGGCTAAGGGAATAGGAATGCTTCTGTTGGCTCCAAGAAAAAAAACCAGAAGCGTAAGACAAGATATGTAAAAGAAGAAATGAGAACAACACTGGGGCAGTTCAATCTCATTACTTTACAGATAACGCAGGAGCATTCGGGGATAAACATAAACCTCAGAGTTCTCTTTAAAAGATTACCACATCTGCAGGGAAAAAAAAATTTAAAAAAATTCACCGATGATTAAAAATCTACTGGAGGTTGGGGGCATTTCTGTTTGTTCAGCAGTATCTCATCCATTTGTAGGGAGACAAGACTATAGAGAAGAATAACGATACAGTACCATACAGATTTTTCAGGATGGGTATTGTCTTCCTGATTGTCATTTAAGAGAAATAGCACAACAGTTTCTCATGTGGCTGTTTCCTGAGCAACATAATTACATTGCATGATCTCAGGGTCTTAACTTGTCATAACTACCACCCTGTCATTCCATTTGTAAACAAAAGCTGAAAATGCCCAAAGCACTTGAATAAAAAAACCTTTACAAACAAAAACTAAATATACATAGAATGCAAATGACCAAATACCCTGAAGCACGGGAGCTAAAAAGTATGATGCATAACAGCACATCTGAGCATTAGTTATTAGTGAAGAATGACAAAACAAGCAAAGCCACAGAAAGAACTCTCTAGCTAGGCAGCATTGCTAAAATAGAGGTCATAAGTGTAACTACTGATTTACCTGAATCAAAAATCAACATTGACACAGAAATGTTCAACTGTTTTTTCACATTTATAACAGGAAGTTCTCTAGCATCATCACAAACCATTTATAGTCCTCAGTGAATATAATAGTTCAATGAAATTGAAGCAAAAAACATTAAAATAATACTAACACAAAATAATAAGTACACAATTTAATCAGCCATTAAGAAATAGGAAAATTACATGTCTTCACAGACTATAAAAATTGCATATAATCTCCTTAAAATTAAAAACAAACACATCACATGGTATTTTTCAAATTAAGATTTTAGACAATCTTGACCCTTAATACAAGTTGTCTACATTGGGCAGGGAAGGCTGACTTCTTAAGAAGAGGGCAGCAAAAGGTTTAATACCTTCTAATGAATGATGACTTCCATCATGTACTCCACTGGAACTTTTTCCAACAGGTATTTTAGTTCCCTCTGCACTAGCAGCCGATCTATCAACTACTGATTGTTTATCATTCACCTTGGAAACCTACAATCATACAGTCAAATATTATTATTAAAAAGAGAAAAAACAGCAAATAAGATGACATTATTTAACACTAAACAGATTAATAAAGTCAAATAAAATAGTTGTAAAATCATCTAGATGAATTTCTCAATTGCTTAACCCCCACTAAACTAGTTTAAACCACAATGTTCTGCTAGTTACACATGCAGCAATTTATATTTTAAAGATGAATTTCATTGGATGTTGAAAAGGGAAAACATTGCCACTTGGAACAGTGAGTGTCCAAAATTAGTTTTATGTCTTTTCCCACTATTTTTGTTTATCATGGCCAGGCTTCGCGAACGAAGATTTGGGAAGGGCTCTACCCACATTTGCTACAAGGGCACTGGTGGCTAAAGAGGCCAATGCCTCTTTAGAGATAAACAAGTCTGGTTGCAAAAGGCACAACAGAAAGACTCCTTCGATGGTATCAGCAAGACATATATAAACCCACATATATATATGGGGTTTTTTTACAATCAAACTCTAATGTTTTTATCCTCCCCTACCAATCCATTCCCCCCACCTTTGTTGCACAATATTGCATCAGTAAGTCATTTTCCAGAGAATTCTGGTCCTGTTTTTATCTAAACGACTGTCACTCTAACTAATCAGCCTGTCAGTTATCATGCAGTATTGCCTGGAGTGTAATTTGAAGAAAATTACCACTTCTTCCCAACTTAAAACTATCAGACACAAAAAGTTTCTTCTGAAACGATGGTACTCCAGTACTTGTTGCTGCCTGCCCCTTTATATAAAACTGAAGGCATCTTCACTTCATAAATAACATGCAGGATCAAAACCTTAGTTCTGTAGATTCTAAAATAAACTATTTTTTCACTGTATTGATGCACATCACTTATATCAACAGAGCATCACAAAAATACTTACCTGGAATTTAACTCTGGTACGTGGTGGTCTTACAGTGCAAGAGTTTGGAATTCCAATCCAGAAGTGATGAGTTTTGGGAAAGGTGCAACTATACAGCTGGCCTTCTTTCAACCGGAGCAACAGTATTTGAGCGCTACAAAGACTTTTAGCAGTCCACATTTTCTTAAAAGTGACGTCTGGATCCAGATGATGTGGTAACCAAACTGATAGTCTTGTTTTACCATAAAGTTACAAAGGAAGTATCAGTACATGAGCTTGGATTCCATAGAAGCAAATAGCAGAAACTTTCTTCTAGGTATAACCTGTTAAAAAGACATTAGAGAAAAAAAAAAGTGTAGTTGAATGGTAAATTGCACATCAAAACCCTGATACTGTAACAAGGTCCTCTTCACACCCCTCTCACTTAAAACACACAAAATGCATTAACAGCGGATTCACTAGACAATGGAACAGTTCCAAGGAGAACTTCTGTTCAGCAGCTTCTCTCTTGCTTTCACCAGCCCCCATCTGGAACCCTGTTGTTCACCACTGTCCATGAAGTCAATCATTCATTTCAGAAACAGGAAGGATTAAAACTGAAAATAATGCAAAAAGCAAGCAAACAAACATGAATACAGTGTCCCCTTCAACTTCTGCTGAAAAACGCCGAAGGAGTGATCCTGCAGCTTCAACCAACTTGTTCACAAAAAACAAAGTACCGATGTCAGGACTCTAGTAAGAAAAAACCCACAGCAGGCTGGCTGGTACACGGCAAGCCTTGTAATCTTCTATGCTACAAGGATATAGCAGGGGTTACTCACAAACCCAGTGTAAGACTGGTTTACACTTAGTAAGACTTTGACCATAAAGAATAATGTGTGGAAATATTCTCTTTTAGACGAAAAGGAGGTTCTCGACTAAGCCCAGTACAAACAAAACCGGTGTGACGCTGAGCAGACCAGGTCTGAGCGGAACTGTGCCAACTTCCCACTTCATCCCAACCAAGTTAGAGGTTTTCTGTTTCACCTCGTGTGCTATGAGATCAGACCTACGCCGCAGTTGGGTTTTTCCTGTCCCCACTCCTGTCCAGCAAACAGCCGATACAAACAGGCAGAACAGATCTGAAAGGCGAGACAAGTTCTTGAAAGGTAACGAGCACTGAACGTCCAGTGACAACCGCGGGCGCACAGCGCCAGGGGCAGTCCCTGCGCCTGTCAAACTCAGAGCAGGCGGGCTCTCCCTACGCGGGACACGTCCCTTCGCACCAACATCCTCAACCCCAACTCCGGTCTTTCCCTGTCTCCCTCCCCGCAGGCTCCTGCCCCAGCCCCTCCGGGGGGGGTTCTAACGCGGCCTACGCAAAGCAGAGGCGGCACCTGCCCGTCTCGTCCCCACCTCCCCCGTCAGCGGCCCCGGAGACAGCCCCAGCGGCGGGCAGCGGCGGCTGCGGGCGGGTCGGGATCGGGAGCAGCAGGTCGCGGGAGGTCGCGGCGGTGCCGCCCGGCCCCGGCCTTGGCACCGCCCCCGCGCGCCTGCGCAGCGCGGGCCCGGCGCGTGCGGGGACCCCGGGGCGCCCTGAGGGCCCGGAGAGGCCGCGGCTGCGGGCGGGGCTGTGCCCGGGGAAGGCGGTGCCCGGGGGAGGTGGCTGCGGGCGGGCCGTGCCCGGCAGAGGAAACCCCGGCTCGGCCCCGCCGCCCAGCCGGAGGCCGCTGAGTGTGCGTGTGCCGGCGGGCCCGGCCCGGCCCGGCCCGGCCCCTCCGGGGGCTGTCGCTGCTGTCGCGTGGGCGGGTGTCCGCTCCCCCAGCACCGCCCCCGTGCCGGGCCGCGCGCCGTCTGAGAACGTCCTGGAGCTGGTGGAGTGACCTGGTGGAGTGGCAATAAAGATTAATTTTTTTTTTTCCCCCATTTTTTCATGGAATCATAGAATAGAATCATAGAACAGAATCATAGAATCAGTTGGGTTGAAAAGACCTCTGAGATCATCAAGTCCAACCCTTGATCCACTACCACCACGATTACTACACTAGGGCTCTAAGTGCCAAATCCAGTCTCATGTTAAAAACTTCCAGAGACGGAGAATCCACCACTTCGCTGGACAGCCCATTCCATTTTGTGAGTGTTTGTGACTGTGTCATTACAGCCTTCTGGTGGGCAAGAGCCAGAGCAAACATGGCTCACAGCTTCAGGATGTGGTGGATCCTGCAGCCAGCAGCGGATGAAGGAGGCACACGCTTTACTGAGGGAGAACAAAGATGCCTGTGGGAGAGAAGTGATCATGTCTGAACTCTCCCTGGAGTCTGTCGGGTTAAAACTAAACTGGGGAAAAAACCACTTTGTTATATTTAACACAGATTAGGCTCCTTGACCCGTGCCATCCGTTGTCCTTGCTTTTTACTGGTATCTGAGAGATACTGGGATGGATTTGGAATAGAAGGAGGTGCAGCTGTTTTGGCAGGGGAACCCTGGCAGCTTCTGTTGTCTAAAGCGTTTATGCAGAGTTTAGCCAGTTTTTCAACTGCTAAAGAGCAATAGTTACAAAACAGAGCCCTGGGATTGTCTTACAGAAACCACAGGATCTCATCGTGGAGTTACTGTCTGCTGTTTTACATCATCCTGCACTCTTCCCCCATATTTATAGGATGAGCTTTTAGGTGAGAATACCAGATAAGCCCTAATGGTGGAAAAAAAATCTTGCCTTAATTATAGCCAGAGTTCTAATTTGTAGTGGTCAGTATTATCATTAGAACTACACTTGCATCTAAATTAATACTTGGTTGACAGCTGTGGGAAGTACAAAGATCACAAACACGGGAGGAGGACCTTTCTCATGCTTTCAGCTGTGTACTCAAGTACATTAGTTAGCCTCTTGTTCCTTCTGTACTGTGTCCTATCTATTAATGAACTGGAAAATGGGTGATGTAGATTAAGCTTTCTGAGTTTCTGAGTTGGTGTAAATTAAACCTTTTATCATGGATAGTTACAAGTATAAACAAAGCAAGTTATTGCCAAGGACAGCATATGAGATGGTGTCTCAAATGTAGCAGCTGGCACTCAGAATCACAGAATCATTAGGGTTGGAAGGAACCTCTGAAGATCATGTCTTTATGTATTTATATTATCATCTATTTGTAATACTAAAGTTGCTTTCAATATTCATTATCATTGTACCACTGATACATGAAGTAAGACAAGAGTTTGGTAGTCATTTGTGGTATACAGCTGACCACTTCAGACTGGAAAAGAAAGCTAATCTGTGCTTTTCTTTGTCACACACAGCAAATATGCAAGAAGTTTGTTCAAAATGATAAATATCAGAATCGTAATTTTTCTACCCAAAGCAAAAAATTGCAGGTCAAGGTATATTTTATTCTGTTAAAAGCAAATGTCATAAATCTTAGCATTGCTCTGGAGTGAGAATTGAAATTCTTCATTTTGCAAGATCCATTTTTTCTGGATTTTTTTTTTTTTAAAGATCAAGTTTTCCCGACCTATTAATTTTGGCCAAAATCACGCTTTCATTTATTTGTTTAATGTAAGCAAACATTGACATTCATTTGCAGTAAACTGAATCAGCTTATATTGTATCTTAAGATGAAGCAACTCACCCACTGAATGACTTTTCTTTCAGGTACCCGAGGTGGTTGAATTAGAAGCCTCACTGTCAGGTGGCTTCAACAATTAGCATGTGTCCTACATTTAGGGACTCATATATTGCTGGAATGTTGTAATCATTTTACAAGAGGGATGGGGAATCTAAAATTCCAGCTTTCTAGAATAATGTCTCCAAGAGGCCCTGTAAGGCTTTTTTCACTGGTAATGATCTCAACAGAAAGTTTTGTAATAGGCTTGTGTGTCTATGTGTACATGTGTGTAACACAGCTGACATTTGAGAGAATAAACGAATTAAGCAGTGGTTATCTGTTGGGTAATACAAGAGTAAGGTAGTTAGTTGTCATAAGTTGGAAATACATCCCCACTCTTACAAATGGCCATTGCTTCCCAAAGGACATACTGACTTTTTCTTTCTCAGTCCCATTTGCCCCACACTTGTTGACAGGGGCAAGGGCTTGGGGTAGAGCAGGGAAGTCCTCACCAGGGCCTGATGTGTGGGCTAGATGTACCTTCCTGTCCTGACATCTGTGGTGGTGGGCTCAGTCCTAGCAGGTGCCCTGCAACAGCCTGACACATGAATGAAATCAGACTCCAAGATTTACTGAGGGGTTATAAAGTTCTTGTGGAGATGGATCCCACTATCCTTACAATAAGAGCTTCTGGATACATTACTAAACATGTCAGCACAAACATTTCCTCCAAATAAGATATGCTAATATTTTGTGTGCCCTTTATCAATTCATCTGGAAATAATATTATTTTCTGAAACTATTCTGTATTTGTAGTTAATCTGTATGTGTAATTATTTTGTAATTATTTTCTGTAGGGGGGCCTCTGGTGGTCTAGTGGTTAGGGTGCAGGACTCTCACCGCTGCGACCCGGGTTCGATTCCCAGCCCCCCAGGCAGATGGAGCTCGTCAG